CAACACGGGTAGACACCAGAGAAGCCAAGCAGTAATGCCCCAGTGAGGGAAGTCTAGCCAACAGCCTCAGGAAAATAGTTTTTGCCTGGCATGTTGTTAGAGAAACATCTCGTTTCTCTCCGGAAGTTTTCCCCCGTCTTTTCTAGCCTCAGCTGACTACACCGCCTCGTCAGCCAGAGGGTTTTGCTGGGAGGTCATTTCCCACGCTTGGGAACCTGGGAGAGCATCTTTCAGCCCAACGCGGTGTTTTAGCTGAAGCGAGGCGCTTGGCGGAGGAGCTGGCAGGAAAACGCAACCACCTCCAAGGGAGCCGTGTGGCAGGAGCCTTAACGGAAAGGTTGGGAGGACGAGAAAGAGGCGCATTTTCTCCAGCCAGAGCCACAGACAGGGCTGAAGGGAAGTGGCAAGCAATTAGTCCAGCTGGAATCTGGCCAGAGTGTCTTGAAATACCAGCTTGCAAAACTTTCACCAAAACACGCCAGCGGACCAAGGTGTTTCTAGGATAACAGATCTGGATTTTAACTCTGTAATCTTCCCCGGGATCAGCAGAGCCAGGAGAAAACCATTATTGGGAACTTACACCCTAACAGATCCTCGGTCCCTCAACACTCCCTGGGTCTGTTGGCTGAGCTCAGGACTTTGGGTACATCCAGAGTAGAAAGGCTCTTTTATTATCAACTCTGAAGGAGAATTCCCTTCTTCTTGCTCTGAAGTGGAATCCCTCCGAGCTTTCAGCCCCACAGCACATGTGCAGGTCTGATTACACCCAGCAGAAGGCAGCACTGAATGCGACTTTTTAAATTTATAAAGGGGTTTGAATGATTTTAGTGATCTCCTGCATGCAGAGCTTTGCTCACTGAGACGTGTGGCAGCCACCAACAACCCCAACTTGGGCTCATCGCGTTTGCCACGGAGACACGACATCGCTTGAGAAAGGCAAGATGCAATCAGTCAAGCAAGGAGAGCAGATCTGGCACCCAAACTCATTTAATAAATAAATAAATAAAATAATTAGGGGGAAAAAATCCTTGCACAAGGCTGCAAGGACTACAAGAGAACCAAGAATTCATTGTTATGTGTCATGGGAGCATTTTTCCACCCCAAAACTTCAGTCCCCAACAGCCAAGACCCTCCCCACTCCACTCTCTGCAGCTGGACGGATTTAGGATGGAGAGCTGTGCCACGGGAACGTGAAAGGAGACATGTCAACACAGGCCTGTGTCCATGCAAAGCCTGTGGCTTTATACTGGCATTCCCCAGAGCAAAATCATTGACCTCGTTGAGCAACAGCTTAAAAAGCAAAAAGAAAAGAAAAGAGATGGAGATGACAGCAGTAGGATACACCCTCCCTGGCTACAGGCAGTGAGAACCCTCCGGCTGCCAACCCACACGCTGGCGAAACCCACACCCGATGCTCCGTAAGGCAGAGCAGAGGTTCAGCGAACAAGACCAGGGTCAGGTTCTGCAGTGACCAACCCTCCTTACCTGAGCCCCACCACCCTGTGCAGCCTCCATCCAGGCACCGCAAGGAAAGCCCCAGCTTGCCTACAACTCCCCGGTTCGGCAGAGCATCCCCCAAACCCCGCTGCGCTCACAGGACAACTGTAAGCCGCTTGTCCCCTGGAGCTGAGCAGCTCCAGGTGCTCGACTTCGCTTTACATTCCAACACCCCGTGTTGGTCGCGCGCGCCGGGAGCCCTTCCCCGGGAGAGATCCTCCAGGCCAACACCGGCCACGAGGCTCTTCAAACAAATATACAGCCCTCTCCAGTCTGCAAGCACACGGAGGAAGGGAATATCAGCTACACCTCAGCTAACAAAACACCCAGAACCTGGCGAGAGGTAGTAAAAGGGAAAAGCAGAGGAGGGAGCGCGGCATCGTTATGCAACTGCGTTATCTAACGACCGCAGAGACAACCTATAGGGCCTCTTTGTTTGCAGAGGGAAGGAGAAAGAAATACCACCAATATCTGAGTCACTGGTTCACCAAGAGGCTCTGAAGTTATTTTCAGATGGAAACTTTTCCAGTTTCACATGATAATTTGGGAGGGCTGGCTAATTCCCCGGCTCCACCCACCGCCTTGTAACACAGCTCCCTGCTGCTCTTGCATATATAGATAGGTATGGCCCTACAACTGGGTGCAGACAGAAGAGCCTGGAGACAGAGGAAATCTGAACTTTCTTCCTTCCTAGCTGCCCTCCACCCACTCCCACCATGAAGAAGGAAATATTAACCCTGGCCTTCGCTCGATCCGTCTTTGTCGAGTTTATCTCCACGCTCATCTTTGTCTTCATCGGCCTTGGCTCAGCCCTGAAGTGGCCGTCTGCCCTCCCCAGCATCCTCCAGATCGCGCTGGCGTTCGGCCTGGCCATCGGCACGTTGGTGCAGGCGTTTGGGCACATCAGCGGCGCCCACATCAACCCGGCGGTGACCATCGCCTTCTTTGTCGGGAACCAGATCTCCTTCCTCCGGACG